GTATGAAATAAACAAAAATTCAATAAAAATATACAAAAAAAGAAAGACACACGATGTTAACTGCTGGCCTCCACATGCACGCACACGCGTGAGCACACACACACATGGGCCTATACATGTGTGTGAGCATGTGTGCACATCACACACGTACATATATAAAAAAGAAAAGAAAACCAAAAGCAGTTAGTTAGGGCAGCACCTTTGCCCATTCCTTTCAGGGAGGCTGCTTCACACAGGGCACAGTCCTGTCACACTTTACAGTCTGTCCTCTGCTCTATTTTTTTCTTTCTTTTTTTTTGTCTTTTCAAGACAGAGTCTCCCTGTAGCTCCAGCTGGCCTGGAACTCGCTATGTAGACCAGGCTGGCCTTAGACTCACAGAGATCTGCCTGCCTCTGCCTCTGCCTCTGCCTCTGCCTCCTGAGTGCTGGGATTAAAGGTGTGTACCACCACACCTGGCTCGGCTCTACTTTTTTACCATGGTAGTGTGAGTGTGGGATGGAGAGAAGACAGAAACTAAAGATTCCAATTTAGAAATTTTTCCAAGTTTTTATCTAAGCTTTCAATACTATAATTCATTCATCTTAAAAATGTGCTTGCAAACTTACTCACACATAGTAAAGTAATATCGTAGAGATTAAAAGTAAGCAAAGTTGTTCCCTCACAACTGAGTTATAGATTCTTCCAGGAGCACCCTGTCACCTTATTCAATTATCTGTAAATGAGAATAAAAAGTGTCCAACTCAGAAATGACAATTTGTGATAAATATACTAGTAGCATTCTAGCACTCAAGAGTAAATACACAACTATAGGATTTTCATAAATGTGGACTCTAATTAGATTTTTCACATAGTTGTGAAATTTTGTAATTCCACACAATCATGTTCACAAAGTACTATAATCCTGACAATTATTTTTCACCCATATCACTAAAGAATTTTTTGTGAGGGGCTGGAGAGATGGCTTAGCAGTTAAGAGTGCTGGATATTCTTCCAGAGGACCCGGGTTTGATTCCCAGCACCCACATGATGGCTAACAACCATCAGAAACTCCAGTTCCAGGAGATCTGACACCCTCTTCTTACCTTCATGGGACACTGCATGACACAGGTGCACTTACATACATGTAGGCAATACACTCATACACATAAAATAAAAATAATAAAAATTAAAAAAGAATTATTTTTGTCAGGAACCTGGAATCTTCACTCAAATAAAGTTCTTAGAGTATCCAAACAGTTTCCTCGACATACATAGATTTATTTATTTATTCATTTATATAATTTACTTGAATCTCCAGAGTCTCACTCTGTAACCCAATGTGGCCTCAATCTTTCGGCAATTCTCCTGCCTCTACCCCTGGGTACTGGAATCACAGGTATGAAGCCACCATACCTGATTTCTTAGGCATATCTTTTAGGTATATGGAAGATTTTAAAGAGAGCCAGGCATAATGGTCCACAACTTTAATCCTAGCACTCAGGAAGCAGAGACAGGTGGATCTGTGAAATCAAGGCCACCTGGTCTACATACCAAGTTCCAGGTCAGCTGGGACTACATAATAAGACCCATAGTGAGGGATAAGTGACAGTAAAAGCCTTTAGAAAAAGTCATATGGAAACATACCATTATAGAAGCGTCGTAAAGTATGTACCTATACATTACAAAGAGATTAAAAGGAGTTACCCTGTGACAGGAGGACACTGCCCCTTCTAAGAGACATCATAAGCTAATGAAACAAAACAAAACAAAAAAAAACAAAACCTCAATGCCAGGAATGGACTCCCTCTCTAGGAGCTGTTGACAAAGGGGTCTCATAGACCCTTAAACAATATCGGCTGCTGTCCCTGCTCCTGGTTTCCCACCAGAACTTGATCCTATTGCTGAAGATACTACATACTTGAGATGTAGAACAAATAAGGAGAAATCAGAGCTGGTGCTGACTTCAGAGCCTTATACCTACTGGCTAGCTTTCATAGTGCTGGATGGTGCCATGCAAGCAACTAGAAGGAAAAAATAATCATCAACCTTACCCAGCTGTAAATTCTATGAACTACAACAACAACTGGCCTGGCAAGATATGCTCACCACTGAAATAGTGGTATGAATATTATGGGAGTAACCAACCACTCTCTAATTGGATTTAAGGTCTGCTTCATAAGATAGAGCCCATACCTGAAATTAATATCAGGCTTAGGAACCTGAGGCTAGACAAGTCACATGACATACGGGAGAGCCTAATACTTTTTTTTCTACTAAATAGCTATCATATTAAACTGACTTCTAGGGGCTGGAGAGATGGTTCAGGGGTTAAAAGCACTGACTGCTCTTCCAGAGGACCCGGGTTCGATTCCCAGCACCCATATGGCAGTCACAAACTATCCTTAACTCCAGTTCCAGGGGAATCCGACACCCTCTTCTGACCTCTGCGGCACTGCATGACATGGGTGCAACTCACATACATGAAGGCAATACACTCATACACATAAAAATAAAAATGAATTTAAAAAAATTAAACTGACCTCTAATGACTTATTGTTATACCCATAGATTAATGCATCTCTCAACTCTCATCAGTGAAGCTTCCTTATACAACAGATGGTGATTAACACAGAAACCCACAACTGGCCAACGTGAAAGAGGCTGCAGAGTGCTTATCACTGAATAGGACATCTATACTAGAATCTAAGGCTCAGGGATCATTGTGGAAGAGGGGTCAGAAAAACTGTAAGAGCCAGAGGTGGTGGATGATCACAAGGACACAGTTTTCCAGGCAGCTGGTCAGTTAGTCATACAAACTCACAACAATGGTGACAGCATGTACAAGTCCCATGAAAGTTCAAACCAGACAAAAATTCCAACATAGATATGGGGAAGTGGGAAAAAAACCCAACCCAACCTAAGGAACATTTGGCAACCAATGGCTGCTGGGAGGGGGAAAGACAGTCTCTTTCAAGGATAGGACTCTTTGTAGGTTAACCAGGCTCAAGTAGATAGACTCACACTGAAGGATATTTGGGGGACATAAATTAGACTCTA